GCTAGATGCTTACCCTGTTAAATGACAAAATCACTTGACAATGCCTTTTTTGCGATTGCTATAGCGATCACAAAACGATGTTTCCTATGGGTTTTTTTCATTGAACGACGATTAGATCCCTGCTTCGCAAACCAATTGTTTGCAAAACGACGATTTGAAACAGCTGATCGGCAGCTCACAAAATGGCTCCCCGCTGTTTTCTGGACCTATTTCCGCAAGACAGGGATTGCAAAATGGCCGCCCTATGGAGGATCTTCGCTGCATGAGCAGGTATTTCCCCCATTGGAACGCATTAACCAGTTTTCAATGCATTCCAATGGGGTTTTTATTTTTGCATGACGATGATTTCGCTGTACAGCAATTTTAACAAAATGCATTATTGTCATCATGTGGGGCACCACTGTAGATGTTTTTCTGGAGCTCTCTGGCTTTCTCCATAATCCAGTGCATGTTAGCAACTTGGTCTCTATTCCTCTGCCCCTTCAAAATTCAGCTTATACTTCTGGGGTTCTTGGTCCACATACTGCTGAAGCCTATTTTGTAGGAGTTTAATCTATGATATTTTAACCTCATAGCCTTGCTAGCGTGTGAAATGAGTGCAATTGTATGGTAGTTGGAGCATTCTTTGGCATTGCCCTTCTTTGAGACTGGGATGTAGACTCTGCTGAGTTTTCCAAACTTGCTGGCATATTGAGTGTAGCACCTTAACAGCGTCATCTTTCAATGTTTTAAATAGTTCAACTGGAAAATAAAATAAAAAATCAAAAAATCAAAAAATACAATGGCCCAAATCCTCTTGTTTAGCTATGCCAATGGTATAATCTTTGGAGGCAAACAGGTTCAGATTAAGAAATCACTCTAGATGTTATAAATTGCATGCTGAGTTACAACTCATTTTTAACAGTGTTTATGGTGATTTCTTAACTTGAGGTAGTTTGTCTACAAAAGCTATGCCAATTGAATCATGCCAGTGCAACTTGGCAAGAGGATTTTGGCCTGCTCAGCTATGGAAACTCACTAGGGGAGTAGAGTTGATAAAACCATTCCTCAAGTATCTCACTTAACATGAAAGCCCTATGAGGGTCACTATAAAAGTCAGTTCAACTTGGCAGCACAGAACAAGAACCTATAGTGGCAGCTGCTTCAGACAGCTGGAGTCCGTGTGTACTGTGTATGGACATAGGCTTGTAATTGAGAGGGAGACTGGTATATGAGGTTTGAAACTGAAACTCTGGTTTTCTCTCTTTTTAGGTTGTGGTTTGAATGATTCTCCTATGGGATTGGCTGCATACATCTTGGAGAAGTTTTCTACGTGGACAGATCCCAGCTTTCAACAACTAGAGGATGGAGGCCTAGAAAAGTGTGTGCCCTTAACGGCTTAACCCTTCTCTACACTGTATAGGCACTTGCATCTCTTAACTGAGTTTCATTGCCCCAAATATTAATATAGCTATTTGTTTTATTTTTTTATGTTCTGCCTTTTGATGTATGTTCAAAGGGGGTTGACAACAGCACTGCTCCAATTCCAGTTAGGCCTAACCTTGCACCGAGAGTTCTCCCTGCTGTACTGATGATCTGCAGTTACACTGAACTAAGAAATCAGAGGCTGCTAAAAGGGTGAAAACAGAGATAGTGGAATTCTTCTCATCTGGCACATTTTCAATCCCACAGTGGGATTTCCTCAGAGAGATGTACCTGCTTTAGCAATTAGAGGTACAGTACAACTTTCAGCTTGCACAGACCAGTCATGAAGCAAGCATGCTGAATTTGAGACCTTGCTAAGTAATTATTGCTAAGAAAAAAGAACATTCCTCACTGCTTGAGGAGCCCCTTGTCTGAGAATATGCTAAGCATATGGTAAGCCTTAGTTAGCAACTGCATTGGCAAAGAATACGGGAATTGCTTATGAATTGGGATGATAATATTCATATTGCTTTGCACTGATGACATGATGTACATGTCAATGCAAATCAGTGCACAGTTTTCCATTTCCTGTTCTTTATTGCCTTCTGTCTGGGCTTGATTCCATTGTGCTAGGGCACTAGGAGACCAGGGGGAGGGGCAGAGAGAAAGGAGTCAGCAGAGAGGAAGGAGGAAATTGCTAACCAGCTCTTCTTCACAACTTGTTAAGATAGCTCTGTTGTAGCCATGCCTCCTGCAACTTTGGACAGCAGAGCTACTTTAACAAGCTGCAGCCAAGGCTGACTGCCAATTTCCTCCTCTCTCTCTCTCTCTCTCTCTCTCTCTGTGCATGTAGTTGTGGTGTTGCATGGCTCATAAATGGTTCTCAGAGGTGAAATTGTCCTATGACCTTCCAAAGTTGCCCTTGTGAAACTTTCTTGTGGAAAATAAGAGCTTTGCAATGTGGCCAAGACCAAGAATGATTTCTAATTTACCCACTTTACAGACACTTCAAAGAACTGCTCACTGGAAGTTGTTATTTCCTAGAATGAGCAGTTTTCCTTACCACTTCCTAAAATTAACCCCTATTTTGTTCCTAATATTTTTTTTTCTTAATTTCTCACAGAAGAGTCATGCCTTCCCAATTCCCATTTTTGTGTCAACCCTCTACCATATCAATCTGATTACAACATGAAGTCCTGTCTGGCAGTTAATCTGTCATTTCCAGCATTCCACATCTCCTCCTTTAGTTGCTGATATACTACAATGTGATTTGCTGAGATGTTTTTAGGAGGCGTTTCAATTAATCTGCCCTCCCTTGCTTTATGAGAGCCAGTGTGGTGTGGTGGATAGGATGATGGATTAGGATTCAGGAGACCTGGGTTCAAATGTGTGCTCAGCCATGGAAACTCCCTGGGGAGTAGCACTTATAAAACCACTCATTGCATACCTTGAAAGCCCTACTAAGGTCGCTATCAGTTGGATGGGACTTAACAGCAGGTGACATAATATATCCTGCTTTATAGAAGAAGAGTTTGCAAGTGGAGCTGCCTGCTTGCTTTGAGTTCTAGCTTAAGTTTACAAAGGGCTTTTCAAACCTGCTTAATAGCACATAAAGCTAGGCCCAAGACTATACATTGCTCTTGGGCCTCACATTACCCACCCTGCTTGAAAGCAACGTTAGAGTAAGCCACATGCTTCTCTCAGCTTCTTTCCTGCCCTATAAATTACAAGGATAATTTAGCTATACTAATTTAGCTATACTGTCCCAGGTTTCATGGCTTCTGACCTTAAAGAAAAAAACACAAGTTGTGTAACACTTATAAGACGAACTAGTTTTTATTTTTCATCAGTTTTTCTGGTTTCTCTTTTGCTACAATTAAGGCCCTGTCCTGACAGGGGGATTTGGAGCGATCTGGTTGGCAGTTTTACAGTTCTTATCTTCAGTGTGATCTATTTTATCGCTCATTTGAGCAATCCTTGACATTCTCCGTGGAGATGTTATTCTCCTGTGAGAAGGGTTGTTGTGCACCGCCAGTGACCCCTGTGTGTTTTGCCCCTCACCCAGGTTCACCTTTGAACATGACTTGTTCTTTTCCCCCTTTTCGCTGCCACCAGAGGATATTATCCTCACTATATCAATTATGAGTCTCACACTCTTGCTGCCAAATAAAACAAGATTTATTTAAGGATAAATAAGTGAATCACAGAAGGAAAATCATGGATGTTCTATTATCATTCATTCTTTAAACGTGGATTTGATTACTTATTAGCTTGCTTGTACTCATTTACTTTAATCAAGATCTCAGTATTTTTTTGAATGTCAATGTACTTCTAATTCCTTTTAACTCTATTATTCTCTAACTAACCAGCTGTCCAATAGCCTGTCTAAACACTTCACAGTCTTCTCTCTAACTTTCTAAACGCTTCACCATCTTTTTTCTAACTGACCCTCTGTTTCTCTCTAACTGCCTCTCTGGCACTCCCAGTTTGTTTTTTGTTTTTTACTCCACCCCTCCTGTCCTGTCATAGGCTCCTGCACTGGAGCTCTAAAATGACTGACAGGAGTGACGTGGGTCCACACCAGTCTTTGGATTGTTGGTTTATTCATATGCAAGTTTACCCAGTTTACTCATGGGTAAGGCATTTACATGGTTTACTCACAAGTAAGGAGGCAGCAATGGCAGTCCAGGCACAAGGAGAAAACATTGGGGTGAAGTTTCGGGAGATGGAAAGGGGGTAACACCGCCTTTCTGACTTTTCCCCTCAGATAAGAGTTGTGCTGCCTTGTGGCAGTGGCGCTCATGGAGTCCACTTAGCCCCCTTCTCCACCTTTTCTTGCAGCCATCTCTCAGCTGGCCACAGTGGCTTTCCTTTTTTCCTTTTTAATTTTTTATTTTTTTGGTAAATTAAAGCAAGTGGTATGTCAAAGGACCTAACATGGTATTAGAATTTTGCTGCATCAGTTAGGGAAATATATAAAAATAAATTAAATAAAATGAAAATAGTGGAAGAAGTTTCTTTGTCCTTCATTTTAATGTCACAACCCATTTATTACATTATAGGGTTGTCACCTCAGATAATGCTGCCCGTGACTCCATTTGGTTGCAGGCTAACCAGGTACACAAGAAGCTAATCAGGGTCATGCAGACTGGACAGGCTCTAACAGTGACCTGCTAGATTTGATTGTAAGCCATGGATTGTGGATGCAGTCCTCTGTGGACCTCCCTCATATAAGCCTTTTGATGAAAGGGAGTGGGTTCTCTGTCCTTTGATTAATTTTTATCAGGGCTTGGGCATAATATATGAGTCATAATCATTAGCCATTAGATAATCAGGAATACTTGAAATGTTTGCTCTTCAGACTGTGTTTCCTTTTTACTATTAAAAGTTTTGGTTAAAGCCTTGTGGGAGGATGCACATGTGTGCCTTTAAGGGGTTAAGAATCAGGAAAAGTGTGTGAAGAACATTACATTTTAGTTCCTGCAATACACACCAGCTCCTAACTGTAGAAGAAAAAGAAAAAATCAATAAGCTGCTATGCATCACATTTTACTAAACTGCTATGTAACTGCTTCTCAAATGTCTTACTCAGGAAGTTCTCTCTGGATGACCTTCTTACAAATGTTATGATCTACTGGGTTTCTGGCTGCATAGTTCCTTCAATGCGTTTTTACAAGGAAAATTCTGGGAAAAGCATGAAAAAGCATGAGAAGTAAGAAGTTCCTTTTCGATTATTTAAGCATTTTCTTTTCATACCATGTGCCCCCTAATAGATCCTGTGTCTTGCTACACTTTCTCAGATCTGTTCTTGTATAATATAAACATGCAAAGTTCAAAGAGAGAGAAACACATGAAGATATTCTTGATGACCCTTGGCTGTATATATTGGGTTTTAGAGTCTTTTGAGGCATGTACTGTCGGTAAACAGTAATAAAATGTAACCTCTCAGTGGCACTCCCCGCTCACAGGGAGCAGGGACCTATTTCTGTGGTCCGCCCTCAAAGGCTACTGGATCATGTTGGATTCCAGGAGGCCATGAGAGGTGTTATGGCTGACCTGGCTGGTGCTCCTGTCGAGGCTCTGGTTGACAGCTGGTCCATCGCTGCCACTAGGGCTATAGACATGACCACGCCTAAACACCCTCTCCAGCGCAGAGCTCGGCCTGCGCCCTCGTTCAACCAGGAGCTTCAAGCAAGCGATATAGGAGATGGCTAGAGCGTAGGTGGAGGAAGAACCCGACGGATTATAATTGGATAGCTATTAGGGTTGCAACTAACCTTTACCTAACTATGGTAAAGGCTGCATGTCGATCTTTCTTCACTAACTGGATAAGTGAAGCTTCAAAGCAGCAGGCAAAGTTGTTCCGTATAGTGTGCGACCTATCCAGAACTGGTTCAGGTGATACGGCTCCCCCTAGTTTCTTGCCTGACCAGTTTGCAGCCTTTTTAAAATCTAAAGTGGAGGCCATCTACCGGGAGCTCTCTCCTTTTTTGAATACAGTGAACCTTGCCTGGTCACCTTTGATTCTTTTCAACCTGTGATGCCTGACACTGTGGACAAGGTGCTTGACCGCTGCCAGGCCACCACCTCCTCCCTTGACCCTTGCCCGGCCTGGTTAATCAAAGCAGCCAGGCCGATAACACCAGAATGGGCCACAGTAATAATAAATGTGTCTTTCCTTGAGGGCAGATTTCCATCTTCCCTCAAGGAGACACTCATTAGGGCCATAAGAAAGAAACCTAGTTTGGCGGCAGACGAAATTGGCAATTACAGGCCTGTCGCCAATGTTTCTTTCATGAGCAAAGTGGTCGAGAGGGTGGTGGGCGATCAGCTTCAGGCCTACTTGGATGAAACAGATGCCCTGGATCCATTTCAGTCGGGCGTTAGGCCGTGCTACGGTACAGAGACGGCATTGGTGTCCTGTTGAGGGAGGCTGACAGGGGCAAAATGTCTCTGCGGGTCCTCCTCGATATCTCAGTGGCCTTCGATACCGTTGACCACCGTATCCTCTTGGTGGGGCTCTCTGAGTTGGGAATCAGTGGCTTGGCACTAGCCTGGCTCTGTTCCTTCTTGGAGGACCGCCCCCAAAGAGTTCAGCTTGAGGAGAGTGTCTCAGCCCCGTGGAATCTCAATTGTGGGGTCCCACAGGGGTCGATTATCTCCCCAATGCTGTTTAACAAAATCCTTTCAAAGCAAAGTCTCAAAGTGAGAGAGTCTGACTGTAGAGAAATGATTGAGGAACATATTCACTAAATCCTAGCTGAAAGGAATTAAGTTTATGACAGACAACTATGAACTTAATAGTAGTAGTAAAATCCAGGATTCATATCTGAAACTGGATGCCCAGGTTTTGGCAGTGGCCAGGAATGCCTTTGCATAGTTAAAACTAATGCACCAGCTGTGCCCGTTTCTTGAGAGGCTGATCTGGCCACAGTAACGCATGTCCTAGTTACATTTTGACTGGATTACTGTAATGTGCTCTACATGGGACTGCCTTTGGAAAGTGTTCGGAAACTTCGGCCAGATTGCTGACTGGGGCTGGTTACAGAGATCAAGTGATCCCCACCCCCCACGCTGTTACAGCAGCTTCACTGGCTGCCGATCCATTTCTGGGCACAATTCAATGTGATGGTCTTACCTATAAAGCCCTAAATGGCTTTAGTCCAAGCTATCTAAAAGACTGCATCTCCTTCTGTGAGTCTGCCCGGGGTTTAAAATCATCAAGGGAAGCCTTTCTCTCAGTCCTGCTCGTAGAGACATGGGAGAAGGACTTCTCTGTTGCTGCTTCCAGACTCTGGAACTCCCTCCCACAGGAGTTAGGCTGGACTCATAGTTTCAGTCCTTCCTCAAGCAAGCAAAGACCTTTGCTGTTCAGGCAGGCTTTCCATTAATAACTGGTGGTCTGAGAGGGGTTTTTTAATGAATGGTTGTGCTCTGTTGTTTTAAATGTGTTTTAGTATTGATTTTGTAACTGTTTTTAATGTAATACTTGTTTAATTATTTTAAAATATTTGTATACCTGCAGTTTTTAGCTTCTACATATTGTAGATGTAAGCCGCCTTGGAATCCTTTTAAGGAGAAAGGTGGGATAAAAATATTTTAAATAAATAAATTTATTTGAAGGGACAAGATGTCTTACCCCTGTTTCCTGATGGTTTTTCAGGTTCCCTGTGCATGTTCCTACAGGAATTGCTTCATTTCCTCATGAGATCATATACATTCCTCAGGCCTGGGTTCAACAGAAGTATGTCAATATAATTTCATTCAACTACATGCCCAGAGGTGGTCATTTTGCAGCTTTTGAGGAACCAGAGCTCCTTGCAGGCGACGTTGTACAGTTTGTGGAAAAAGTAGAAAAGGGCAATTTTGCTAAATGAAGAAGAAATAACTTTGTTTAAATTGTAGGCTATTGAAATCACTAGCAGAGGAAGATTCCTACAGACTGTGTTCCCCTCCCTTACATAAATTCTGATTATTGAAACCAGAAATTAGGAAAATATTTTCCATTTGAAATAGTTTCTACTGTAATTCTAGATTCTTATGATGCAGTTATGTCTTTTATCCCATATGGTCAGATGAAAATTGAACGAATCCTCTTTGAAGCTGATTTTATGATGAATTAATATAGTGCCCGAGAGGCTGAACTATACATGAGGAAATCTCAGCTTCAGACTTTCACTGTTCATATAGCACCTTCCAGCAATATGGACCTTTGTAAAGCAAACATGGGGAAACTGCTGCATACCAAATGTTGCTGGGTACTGACTCACATTAGCCCCAATCAGCATAGCCAGAGATAACAACATACCAAGGGCCACAGGTTTCAGCTGCATTTATGAAGAATAAAGTGAGTCTCTGCCTGCATTAAACTTACATGATGTTGTATTTGCTAAGAGTTTGCAATCAGGCAAGATTATAATTTCCCTATTATGATGAAGTTTAGGTATGTCATCAAGATCCACATTGTACTCTTAAAATAAACTGTGCAATAAATAAAAGATGGCTATATTTGCTTGGCAGGATACATTCTGTGTTCTTATTTATTTCTTACATTTATGTCCCACTTTTCTTAAAAGGTGCTCCAGGTGTCATCTGTAATTTTCTTCCCTTTTTTTCTTTTTCTCACAGTCCTGGGAAGGGTGGGTGATTGTCCCAAGGTCTCATCCAAGTTGAGATTTGAACCCCAAGCCTCTCAAGTCCTAGTCCAATATAATGTATAATCACTACATCACATTGATGCCTTCCAAGGTGAGGTTTTCAACATGGATTCTTTAATTTCCTAAGGAGGTAGAGATGAAGTGGATGAAAAGTGAGCTTAGTGGGAGGAAGAAGGTCCAGAATGCTGGGGAAAAGGGGAGAAGTCTGCAAAGTAGTGGTAGTGAAGCTGTAAATCTTGAGCCACATGTTCACTAGAATAGAAGTTCTCTCTAGCTTCTGAGCAAATAACAAATGCTATTTTCTGGGTCAAAAGACACCAACTGTTCTCCCCAGATTTTCAGTACTTTCTAAAGTCCCAACTACTGAATGCTACAATTACTTTCACATTAGCCTTTTTTTAGGCACTGCCATGCTATGTTAAAAACTTTCTGTTGAGTATCCTGATAATGGTGTCAATCCACTGTTATTCTCGTGTTTTCTGTGTTTCCTTGCATATTTTTCCAATCCTGATTTGTATTGTTGTTACTGCTGCTGCTGCAATAAAGTGCAATTCTAACACTAGATGTAATACTGAGCCTTCAAAGAACTCCTGTGCCATTAATTGAAGGTCTCTTGTTCTCAGATTCTGTTCCTTATGTTGCTTTCAGTGTGTGTGTATCTAGGGAGATGGCTCATAAATTAAGATTTAATTTACCCACGAATAGCCTATCTTAATTTATCCTTATTGTCAGCCTTAATTACCAAGATCTCTTACCATTATGATGTGGTTACATTTTTAAAGTGAAAAAGCAACCCAGCAATTAAGCTTTTAGCAACATAGGAATATGGATGCCGTGTTTCCCCGAAAATAAGACAGGGTCTTACATTAATTTTTGCTCCAAAAACACGTTAGGGCTTATTTTCAGGGGATTTTTTTATTCATGTACAACAATCTACATTTATTCAAATACAGTCATGTCATCTTCTTCTGGTTGCACAATGGTGGAGGGCAGGGTTTCACTTAACTGGAGCTTATTTGGGGCGTAGGGCTTATATTACGAGCATCCTGAAAAATCATACTAGGGCTTATTTTCGGGGAAATAGGGTAGATATAGTAAAATTGCCAGAATCTGTGAAAATGAGACTTACAACTAACAGTGGAAAATAGCTTTATTGATGGCCATTTAATTCTAAGTGCTTTTCACTTATTATATGCTGTTTGGAATTCCTTGCTAATTTCAGAAAAGAATGGCTTCAACACTGTTAAGAAGCAATACTGTGGGAGAAACCGGATCCTGAAATAACACATTAACGTGCTCAAGATGCCTGATGGTGTACCAATACCAGACTCCTTGCCAAGAAGGGCAGCCTAGCCTTCACCGTATAAAGTTGTGGAGTGTGCCTTATTTTCTTGGAAGGTTTTAATTTTGGTTTAAATTTCTACTCAGCTGAGGAAAGCATCATTAACTCGCTGTCCAGCCTACTTCACAAGATTGTTGTTGTTATGTCAACCTATATACCACAACATAGTGCTGGAGCATTCTCTGGGTGGTTTACAACATAAATATGCAAATAACACTTGTTGTGAGCATAAGGGTTCAATCCTATGTTCACTGAGAGGGATCTAACTGCTTTCCAATGCTGGTATTTCTCCTTGAGTGGAGTTCTGCTTAGAACACTCCTGCCAGAGAAAAGTGTGGAGAGTTTTGCTGTTTCCTCCTTTCCCCTGCAGTTCCCAGTGTCATCTCTCCTACAGTTTCAGAGGACCACTTAGCACTCCTAAGCAGATGGGGCATAAGGGAGTACAGAGGGGGGAAAGGGGAAACTGCAGATGTCACCAGTTCCTTTTATTACAATGGCAAAATTCTGCTTAAATCAGAAGCATCCTACAGACCAAAGAAGCCCCTTAAAGAAGAGGTATGTTCTGGATCCAATCCACTTGCTTGATAGTCATTTCGCAGTGCTGGGCTTTTGAGTTCTGTGCTTAGGTTTGCACTGTAAATGGTGAGTAGTTAAGCATTTTGACCTCTTAAAATTGCTATAGCAATTGACTACCAGCTTAGCCATAAACTATAGCAGTAGTTCTTAACCTGGGCGATATTTCATCAACCTGGGTGATGGAACGAAAAGTGGTGACACGGGGGTGAAGGAACAGAAGGGGGCAATACGGGGCAGTGGAGCTGCTGTGCCGCCACCACCACCATTGAGGAAGTTATCATTGCCCCCCTACCCATGCTGCCAGATCCAGAGCAGCTGATGCTGGCAGTGGATGTGGTGCTGCTGATGCTGCTGATGTGCCGTCGCTGCCACCATTGAGGAAGTTATCATCGCCCCCCTGCACCGCCAGACCGCCGGATCCAGAGCAGATGCTGCTGGCAGCAGATGTGGTGCTGCCAGCACTGCCGCTGCCATTGAGGCAGTGCCGTGCCGCTGCTATGCCGCCACTATCATTGCCCCTTCCCCATGGCAGCACCAGGAGGGGGGCGATGATAACTTCCTCAACAGCTCAAGGGGGCGTTTCTTTCAAAAAGGTTAAGAACCACTGAACTATAGCATGCAATTGCCAGCGGAAACACTGCAGGTATATGTGACTTCTATGTGTACCTTTTATTTGATTGAATGGGTGGAATTCCTTTGCAAAATAGTTGATCTGTAAGCATTTCTGAGAAGAAGAGGTACTTACCTCCCAATTGCTTGCTTACTTTGATTTTTAAAAACCTAATAAGCATCTTGTGGTAATAAATCAATGCATGACTTTGCATTTTAAAAAGTCTCATCTGAGACAAGGAAATGCTTATAGGGGTTTAATCATTAAACTTTAATGGACAAGATCTTCATTGTCATTGCCACAACATGAAAAAGTTGAAAAATGAAATAGCAATGTTCTGGAGAAAACAGTCTTTTATGAGTTCTGCAAACCATTTTAAAAGTGGGAATGTAGACAAGGGAAGAGTTTGTGTTTCCTTCATTTCAGGCTCTTTTGTGATGACATCTTTCATTTTTCTTTTATTTTCATGATTTTTGTGCACAATGACAGAGAAAGCTCTTTCTCTTTTCTCACCCCAAAGCTTTACAGAACCCTTAAAAGCTTTTCCAAAAAAAGCTTAGAGGCAAGGGAATAGAAAATCAGTCTACACCAAAAGCAGGCAAAAATACATGAGAAAGAAAAATTATGCCAAAAATACCTCACTCATCCACCAACCAATTCACAGAGCAGTAAACCACCCATAAATCAGAAGAGAGAAAACAACAAAACCAATAGAAAAGAGAAAACAGTAATATGAGTTCCCTACCACCCACACAGAAAACAAAAATCCTCTGGATCTGAGCAGCACAATAGAAAAAGGCAGGAAGGAGTCTGCCAGCCTGTCACTAGCTGGCAGCCTGGCACACAGCAGAGTAACCAACAACAACACAGTGTCAAAACCATACTAACAAAATAGTCCCCTTTAAGAGAATAAATATATAGGGAAAAAACCAAACATTTTTAAAAAGTCAGTTAAAAAAGGAAAGGACCCCTCCACACACATGTGGGAAAATAGAATAAATAACCCACACAGCCCCCTTCCTAAAACCAAGATAAGTAAGTAAGCAAGCAAGGAAATGAAGACAAAAGATATAATCAAACCCAGCTCCTGACCAAAGCTATTAGAATATGGAAAGATTTCTGTCTTCCCTATAGGTTGATGCCTTCAATTCTCTTCTGTTCTGAGTCCCACAGGAAGCAGCAGGAATGGAGCAAAATCCAAGACAGAAGGCACCAGGGCAGAGTTCAGCAGCATAAAGTAATCCCCCACATACGGAAGCAAAGAAGATTATGCAGTGGAATAGTCCAGGCCATTTTACAGATTAAAAATTCTTGCTCCTCCCTCCTAGATGTGCTGAGTGGCTGCTCAAGCAGCCCTTGTGATAGTACTGATTGAAACATTTACTGGGCGATTTAGCAGAAAAGTGTGAAACAAGAGTTAAACAAAAAAAGGGAAGCATGGAACAAAATACAAAACTTTCATGTAATGATCATTTGTTAATAAATATCAGTGATGTTTTCAAAGCTCTGTTTCATAAATCAATGAAATAACACACTTTTTTAAAAAAAAGAAGCTTCTTTCCTAAATTCTGTATAGATACGTAAATATGACCACTGGGTTAGTCAGGTATAATCTAAACCACTGGGTTAGTCAGGTATAATC